AAGTTTAAGCTTTATGATAATCATGAAAAGTTCATCTGTGTTGGTAGTAATCATAGTAAAACGTTAAACTTTATTCCAACACACTATTTACAGGGATCAAATTTTCAGCGACCACTGTCGCCTTCATATGGAGGCTACATATATCAGAGCACTTCAGCCTTCACTTAATAGAGATGGTGGACGATATAAACTCCCTGGCACTTTTGATCAATTGCTTACGTCACGTATCAGTAAAGTCTTGTGTGAATAAGGTCACGTGTTTGTAAACCGTAACTCTCGCGAGATCACGTTTTGAAGTGATTGGTCATTAATTATCCTGATGAAGGCGACAGTGGTCGCTGAAAATTTGATCCCTGTAAATAGTGTGTTGGAATAAAGTTTAACGTTTTACAGATGAAATATCATGCTAAGAATCATTTAGAACTTTTTGAAGATAAGACCGTGATTTCAGACGATAGCGATATTTACCGCTTCCCTTTGGTGACCATTGAAATACGTGCATTCATGCAATGTTACCATTCTAACCTTTGGTACATACACAGGGTGACGGTATGCGCGGAATTCTTGCCAAGAAGACAAATGGGTCAATGCGTCATATCCTTGCATGTAAGTTTTTTGGTTCAATGATTATTTATTTTATTTTATTTGTTCTGGAAAATATAAATAAATATTATTAAAAAAGTTTTTCGTTCAAACACATTGGGCGTTGCTGACACTATGTTTTTTTGTAAATCGCAATATCTGAGCAAAGATATAGTAAGTCATATGCTTTCACCTACAAGATTCCTACATTTTCAAATTTCGACATCATGACATAAACTTTGTTAAACCAGAAATGATACCTATATTGTGCTAAGTTTTATTTTACTGCGAATTATTACACAAATTTGTCACTGAAACAACTTTGAAAAATACAAGTTTTCAATCATTGTACTATGATTGTAGAAATAATTTTGATTCAGAGGGAACATATAAAAGGAATGAAATACATCAAAGTAAAAGACAAAACAATAAATCAGAGCCTTTTCTTGTCTCCCCTCTTCATCTTTATCTGCATTTTGCCCATTTTCAGCATGTTGGATACTGTACGTCAGAAGGCAACAAAGTTCCTTTTTTTTTCAAAATCAGGTGAAAATTAATGTGCGAGCTGATGTCATCCATATATATTACTTGCTGCGGCCAAATACTGTGTTCTGTTACAAACCCTGAATATTATGTCTTTTTCCCCAGATGTTCTGGGCGGCCGGAAGTTGTCTGGAAGTCGGGTTGGCTGTAGCCGTCCTGCCTACCCTGGGATGGAGATGGTTGCTCGTCTTCACTGCAATTCCCTCTCTGATTGTGGCCATATGCTGTAAGGTAGGAGACTTCATACCTCAGAGTACGGGAGTATTGTTCTGAGAGGCTGAGCTGTGAATTTTCCGAACGGAGTAGGTTGACAGCGCGTGGGTGGGCAAAGATTGATAGGCAGAATGACTGCATGGAAGTCATACACAAGAAATGAGGTGAGATTGAGTGTCAGTTGACTGTACGTGGGTGCGAGACGATTGACAGGCAGAATGACGTGTCAAAAGGTCCGATGTCCTCAACAGGGCGTAATGAACTCTGATACTTCTTATACTATCATGAAAGTTCATCTTTTTTCACAGTACATAACATTTTGGGGAACGATTGAACTTTGCTCTAACGTAAGAATTAGACTCACCAAATTTCGTCCTCTTCTGGATATATCTGAACTGCTACTCTTTGTCGCATGGTGGTGTTGCAACGCAAAGAAAGTGGTATATTTCTACTAAATGTTTTTCATACCTCACTACAGTGGATGCCAGAGAGTGTTCGGTACCATGTAGCTAGCGGACAGTTGGAGAAGGCACGAGAGACACTTCAGAGGATTGCGCGAGAAAACAAGTCATCCTTGCCCCCGGGAAAACTCGTGGCTCCCGTCATCACGGTAGGGATAAAATAACACTAATTATCTGATTCTATAGTAAATAATATACCTTTGCAAACGTAGTACATCAATGAGGGTTCGATTCAGTTTTTTTGAGGCAGTGGCTGATGAATAGCAACAAGACTACTAACGTAGCACAGGTTCCGTAACCCAATTCTATTACATCTTTTGTTCATTTCTGTCATTCAGGAAAAACGTGGCCAATTCAGAGACTTGTTCTCCAGGGAGTTTCGACTGACGACTGTTCTTCTGTGGTTTATATGGTACACATTTATTCACTTCTTCACTTAATAATTGCCTTCGTCGAGAAGGCTATGAAATCACTTTGCTATAGTGTAATGTGTGGGAGACAATGAGGCATAACTCTTGAAGGCATGGTTCAATGGTCATGATTTTTGGTAGGCAGGTTACCGTTGGGGGGACCAAGGTCAAGTTCAAAAATGGGTCTCGTGGAGGGGTTCCTACGTCACTGCAGTGGACTTTTTGTGCACGATTGTGCAAATCAATATGAGCAAACTGATGATTCCCAATAGTGTATTCTGCAAAGGGCGTATCTATCAGAGAGCTAGTGTAATTTCAGCCTTTGGCATTGTTGTACTTGTATTTTTCATTGTTAGTTTTAATTTTTATTTTTCCAATGGTAATATAATGTATATGTCCCTGTATACTAGTGGCACGGTCCAGTGGTTGGTTATTCTAATAACCAACCACTTTTTTCAATATTCACCACTTATGTCCTGATGACCGATGGGAAATGGAGGCTTCTGATGGGTCGATGTCTTCTGACTATAAGATATTTAACTATAAGAACATGTTTTTTTCCAGGACAGCAGTCTTGATTTGTTACTACGGCATCGCGCTGATGGCAACAGAGTTATTTCAAGCAGACGGAAACTTTTGCGGTGATTTGTCAAACTGTAATATGATACAAATTAAACGCTTTTAAGGACATTGAAAATGTTTTAAAAAGAAAAACGCCCAACATATATAACTGCAAGTTTATTCAAAAGTCACACGTAATAATACTGAGGCATAGCTCGAGAAATACCATGCCGTATTACATTTTCAAGAACATAACTTCAATTTGAAGCAAGGATATATAAGGTGAGAGGAGTCTAAATCCCTCCTGCTATAAAATTGCAACATGATGTAACCCAAAACTAGTTACCATGGCGACAAACGTGTGGTCATGGTCATTGACCTTATTTGTTTGGAGAAGAAGACGAAGAAACTTAGCAAAAACAATGTTTGTTTGTGGGAAGAACACTCTAGGGGAAGAAGAAGAAGAAGTCCAAGGCCAAGGGGTCTGGGAACTTGAGTCTACGAACAGAACATGCTGCAATGAAGTCTAAAATTGCCGATTTCTCGTTGTAAGTGCACTGATTTCATTCCTTTTTCCTCTTTCAGAGGCCAGTCTGGATCAGAGTCAGGTCTCCTGCTACGCTGCCTGCAAAAAGCTCTCAGACGAAGCCTACCAGGACATATTCATCACAGCACTAGCTGAACTACCAGGTCTGTATTTACAACTTCAAGAGGTTGACCAAAATGGGTACTCTCTAGAATCCAGTCAGGCTTGTTTTCTGTGTCTTGATGGCCTTTGTACCCCCCCCCCTCGCCTTCCACTGAGGTGGCAACCATTGAGGGACAAGAATTCTCCTTAGCAATTCCAAGGAATTTGAAATGTATAGATAAAAAGTGCATTTTGTGCGTTGTGTGTGTTTTCCTTCGCCTTCACTTAACTTCCAAATGTGGCAAGTATGACATTCCCAGCAGTTACAGCTATGAAATTATAAAAATCTACCATTAATCATGCAAATTGGGTCTTTATTCACATATTCTATATCCTCAGATGTTTTTTGTTCGTTCTCTATTACATGTCACAAGTGTTTCATAGTCCTATTATTGAACAAAGCGGATTTATAGCATTTCCTCATTAATTATGCAAATAAGCTCCTGATTTGCATAATTGTCATCTGATTATGGCATCACGTCAGCTACCTACATACCAACAATCACGACAATCCGTCAACCGGTTCTTGACTTATCCGTCCTTCGAAAAATTTTCAACAAATGCTCCTGCAGTTCCAGAACAAGCCGTTAGGGGCCCAAACTCATATCATTTCTTCCCTACCCCAAGAGCTATATACCAACCAAAATTCGTGACCCTAGCATGTCCAGATCGCGAGATATCAAAACCAGAAGTTCTGCTGCAGTACCAACAAAAGCCGCCAGGGGCCCCAAAATCTAATCATTTCTAGGTCTTATCAAGACCTACCCATCTACCAACTTTCATGACAATGCAGATTAAGCTTCTTGAGTTATGCTGTTCACAAACGGACAAACAGACAAACGGACAGACGGACAAACGCTACTAAAAACATAACCTTCTTGGCGAAGGTAATAACCTAGTTGTTTTATGTTGTTTCCAGGCACATTGCTGGTGATGCTGATCATGACCTGTCTGCCCAGAAAACCCACCATGGCCGTGGCGTTCGCAGGATTTTCTATTTTTACTTTTCTGCTTCTGACGTGTGCGGGAAGGTAGGGAACTTTGTTTACCGTCTCTCTGGCATAGACATTGTAGTAGTAGTAGTAGTAGTAGTAGTAGTAGTAGTAGTAGTAATGGTTTATTGATATTTGTTTATCTTGTACTGACAAACACAGAAACGAAAAGGCAAACATTCAGCTATAGAACGATAGTACCAACACTTGAATGCTCTACGGTATTTTAGTATTTTACAAGGTGGAATGTTAGTTAGGATATAAGGTACACCAATATTTGGAGTTACTGTACCAACTGTTACTAGATGTGATGTACTAAGTAAATTTCAATAGCTGTATTATGTACATATGATGTAAATTCGTGCTTATGAACAAGTCTCCAGTATCACTAATAAAAGGTAGTGGATGCTACCTGAAACGTCTGACCGTTTCCAAAATCATATTCAGTTGCTTGAGTAACTGTTTTTGGTTATCTTATTACCTGGATGCCTAACCTACACCGACGTAGATTCCATACCTATTTTGTTGTCCTTCTGTACTTTACAGGCGTGGATAACTGTCTTCATCTTTGTAGCTCGAGCCTTTATTTCTGGAGCGCCCAGCTGCCTTATGTCTACACACCGGAGGTAAGGCCATGTTGATTTGATTATATGGATGGCATCA